TTGTTAGGGTGAATTGACTTAAGTTGAAGATTGTTAAATTTAGAAATTACTGATTGAGAGTCTGTAAAGATATTAATAATACAGTTTCGAGGAGCAGTTGAGATTGCAGAAATAATTGAGAATAGTTCAGCTTTGTAAGATGAAGACCAGAATTTGATTTTAGTAGAAAAGAAATTAAATTTTTTTTTATATATAAAGGGGATGAGTAAAAAGAGTAAAAAGAATTTGTAAGATCTGTTGAAACAAATTTACTTAAATACAAAACAATGAGTAGAACTCCGATTATATTAGAAGAAATCTTAGATAACGTCACCTACTCATACTTGATTGATGTCAATCCAGTACCCCCACTCTTTATGATGACCCATGACTATCCTGAAAGTGTAACCTTGACAATGAATCACCTTCAGAGAAGCTTGAGGTTGAAGCAGTGTATAACCTCTTGGTGTATAGCTATTATTTGGGAATGCTGTACCCAAATGGCACCCGGCAGCAGCAGAGCCAATTTTGAGAAATAGTGAAGAGGCATTACTATACCTCCACAATCTGAACCTACGATGTGTTCTTAAATATGATATTGAACAGATCTATTGAATGATGAAGTTGGAGTTCACAGATCTGTGAAAATTGAAGTTGCATGAACTTCAACAGTTAACAGAAGAAGGTCAAGCATAGTACACATGACCTAAGCAGAAGAAAAATGTGAGGACAGATTTAGATAGGATTTAGATAAGATTTAGATAGAAATAATAAAAGCATAATAAAGTATCTACAAACTGTAAACTACTTATCTGACTCTAACAAAAGTGCAAGTATTGTCTTGTAACACTCTGTGACCATTGTTAAATTCTATCCCTAACAAAACCCGTCTGCTTTAAGAATAAACTAAGCCTTAGTTGATCATTTACTGCAAGTCACATGACCAGAAATCTATTGCTGTAATAGAAGAATTACAATTCCAATTCGACGAAGTGTAATCATGAGTTGAGGCATACAAAAGAAGACAAGAGAAGGCAAAGGTTAACAGAAGACTAGGTTGAAGGAAAGTTATACAAGAAGAAGACTAGTACTTATCTACGGATGATAAATTACTCAAGACCACAAGATGTCTATCATTACACAAAGCTGACCTTCAATTGGTGACAGAATCACTGATTTAGGAGCTACATGGCCTTCATGGCTACTGTGATACTGGGAATCGTGACACTGAATGCCATGATCGATCATGTGAAAAATGCACGAAATGCAATAAATGCAATAAGTGCAATAAATGTAATAAGTGCTGTAAAAGCAACAAACATAATAAATTACATTTAAGATCATTAAAGATAGTTCAGATCTAAAAGAGTAGATAAGGAATAAAAGAAGGAAATAATAGATATTAGATAAATACATGTAAATAGTTTAATTAGTTTTAAGAGATAAGTCATATTTTAAGTGCCAAATTTTATATTATTAATAAAGGCCAAAATGGCCCTTAAGAGAAGTATGCTTTGTTTGCTTTATTAAACAATAAATTCTAATACCTTACATTGTACTTAATAAACACTAACACTATTACTATTACAAACCTTGTAAACTCCTGTAAACATCACTGTTTAACACTTGACTATATGACTTATCCTATTTGCATTCATTGACCCAAAGTAACCAAAAGCCTTAACTGCCCACAAGTCAAATCTTACACCCTCTTTCGAAAAGGTTACTGTCATATATAATGCAAGGTTTTGGATTTTGGAGCAACAAAGTCGCAATCTTCTGAACCCAACAATACTTATATTTAATTGTTGTATTAAGCACAGAGATACTGAATACTAATAATATCGCATTTATTAAGAATAATTATTTACTCATTTATCTAGAATTCATTATTGTAGGTACTTTTTTCTTTTCATGATACATATAGTAGAATCACCACTAATGATTTCTGTAACGATTTACGACATAAGCTTTAGCTAGCCGTAACATTATTGAAATGATTCTACTACATACTAATGTTAATACTTTTGATTCCTTTAGAAGTTGCATGTATATATTCAATAGACTATTTGTATGTACACTTTTTTTTCTTATTGATATATATTAATTAATCAAGTGAATTCTTATTTCATTGGATTAACTATTAGGCTATAATTTATTATGAAAATGTCAGCATACACTATTAAAGCCCTGTGAATTCATTTTCATTAATGTGTTAGACACCCAATGTGACATTATATCTAAACTTTTCTAAATTAAGACTAGTACTACAGTATTTCAACTGTCATTACTAATTAAGATAAAGATGTAGTCAGCTTATTATACTAAATTATCTAATTTTGCCTGACTATAATTCTTCTATCTACTTTTTGTAGTAACCTTTTCTTTCTCTAAATTGGTTGATTCTTACAGTTTCTTGTTCTTTTTGCTATTATTTAGTATAACAGTTTTTTATATATTGGTACTGATTAGCATAGTTGAATTTATTGAGTTTTGAATTATTGGTTTGGTTTGCAGTTATTATATATTTTTCTTTATATACTTTCATAATTGGTTTTATTATAGTATGAATCAAATGCTTCTTGCAGATAATTGTAAATATATTACTGATATTATACTATTGTATTTTTAGTTTAGTATAGCAAGAAAGTTGGAAACCTTAACTTATTGCATATGGATATAGTAATCATCACAAGATTGTGAAATATAATTATAGGTTCATTTCTTTAAGATTTATAATATCTGCTAAAGATACTTCAATTTTGATTAGGTTAATCCTTTACTACAGAGAGATACAAATTGCTAACTCTTCCTAACTATTACTAGTACCAAAATTTTGCTAAAAAATTTTTTTATTTTTTTTAACAAACTATAATTAAATATTCTTAAAAATTATATTAAACTGTTCATTACTTAAATTTATATATATTTACAAATTACAGCCACCTAAAGGATGTAAACCATTCTGGTTTACATGTCTAAAAAACACTGTAACTACTAACAACAGCTCTAGAATATTACTTTCACAATATCAACAAACCAGACACAACCCTTTTGCTTACAATTCTCAACACATTTCTAAAAAACTCAAACCCTGGTTACTAACATATAATAATAATAATATCATTATTGGCAAAATTTGCAGATACTTCAAACATGACAACTAAATATCTATTATGCACTGGAATACAAATATTAATACAGAACTCTTTACCCATTACCCTCTTCCATCAATTCAATGCTCAGTTTGTACAGGTTGTGATTTTAACTCTTATCAAGTTGCAAATTACTGTACAATTAATATATCATCAATAATTTCTACGCAATTTCTTGGAAAATTTTCTTCTAATGCACTTAACTTTAATGCAAACTATATTGATCTGATCCATTCAACTGCAATTAAACATCCATTATTCCTACCTTCTGCCCTTACTATCTATATTCTGACTCTCCCATATCAGAAATTTTTAAGCAAAGAGAAGCTACATATATACTCGAACAATATTTTCTTACCAATATAGCACAAAATACATTTAACTTCTATACTGATGGCTCTGTATTTGACATCAGTACAGATCAATGTACAATGGGTATTGGATGGGTACAAGCTAATGACTCCAACCAAATAATTCACAAATTCTCAGCTAAAATCCATTTTTGGCCATCTTCTTACAAAGCTGAACTAATGTTAATTCTTTTAGCTATTTCAATAACTCCTCGCAATTCTACAATCAACATTTATACTGATTCTCAATCAATAATTACTAAATACTCTAAAATATATACTACTCTCTTAAATCCCAACAAGCTTTTCAAATTTAGCTCATGGCCCATATGGCATACCCTGCTTAATATCATCAAATCTTATAATCATTAAATTTACTTTCATAAAATACAAGCCCATTCTAATAACACTCTTAATAATTTAGCAGACTTAATTGCAAAACAATATAATTCATTACATTCACTATATTTTAAATACACAAGCATTTACAATCCACATCATATGATTTCTTGGAATCAGCATTTTATCAAACATCCAACTAGAAGTTTTACTAAAAATATCTGTAGAACCTACATTCTAGCAATGTGGTCCTCCCAAAAACATAACATTGAATGGGAAGCCCTAATTTCTCAAATTGACTAGAGATCAACTTGGTTATTTTTTAACCATAACCAAAATCCAACTCATAATATCACTAACTTTAAACTCAACTACCTTAAATCATTTAAAATCAAAATTTTATTAAATGAACTTCCTACTTATTTTCACTTTCACAAAATTTACCTACATACATTCTACAATACTAATTGCTTCAACTGTAACCTTGTCGACTTCCCAACCCATTGGTGTACATGCTCAAATCCATCACTCATTCTCAATATTATCTAAACCAGCATATCTAAATACATTAACCATACAGACCTTAATTTATCTATAAACCAACAAGAAGAACTTATTCACAAAATCAGTAATCACTATGCTTTTTATCCTATACCTCTTCAAAGAAATTAATACTACCTTGATATTACACTTAAAGGACTTATTCTTAAATCCTTAATTGAGATTGTACAAAACTTTAATATTTCATACAAACTAGCCTCATAAACAATTATTGCTATTCTGCTTAAAGTTAATGAACTTTCCTATGAACAAATATGAAAACCCTATTGTATAAACTTTGCCAACTGGAAACAACAACAAGGACTTAAACCACCTTACACCAGACCTTCTACTCAATCAAACCAAAACAACAAAAGAAATTCTAATCACAAAAATTATACCTATTCTTGCTTATGTGGACTACCTGATCAATTACACTCTAATTCTAATACCTGTCTACCTATCAGTTATGCTATTCGTAAAATTAACATCTAAACTATCTTTTGGATCAAATATAATATTTCCTATAACCATATTTTAAACTTACAAATCTAGGTGAGTCTTGACCACTCTAGTAGGTTTAGGTTACAGATAAATATGTTTGAGCTTTTATTCTTGAATATAGTTTTTCTTTTATTTGTACTTAGAATAGCTATATAGTTAGCAGTTTAATGGTCTAGCCCTGACTGCAAGTGTTGGTTTTGCCATAGCATTTATATAGAAAATTACTTTTTGTACATAGTAGCTCTATGTAGCTTCTAACTTTTAAACTACTAATAAAGATACGAGCAAGGCCTCATCTTAATACCAAAAAAAAAAAAATATAAATAAAGTTTAAAACATAAAAATAAGTTAATAAATACTTATAACTTAATGTTTTGCTTATGTAACTGCCTTTTGTATATTAATAAAAGTTTTTCTTATATAATTTAATATAAATAAAACTTTTTAAATTCAACTTACTAATAATACTAACAAAATATTTTTAATGAGATTACAATAGTTAGAGTTTATTATTAATAAGATATATAGTAAAATTACTTAAAAATAACTTTTATTAGAGTACTAAAAAAATTTTTTAAATAAATTTTAAGTTATAAATAAGTTTTAGTAATAAATTAGTCATTTTTAATTTTTTTAATTGTTTTATTGTTATATTATACTTAATTTTTAACTGTAATTAAATTTTGATCTATGTTGAAATTTTTTTAAAAAGTAATTATAAATATTAGACAATTAAATAAATTTTTTTCTAAAAGCTTGCATAAGTACAAAT